TAGTGGTGGTAGTGGTGGTAGTAGTAGTAGTAGTAGTAGTAGTGCTAGTGCTAGTGCTAGTGCTAGTGCTAGTGCTAGTGCTAGTGCTAGTGCTAGTGCTAGTGCTAGTGCTAGTGCTAGTGCTAGTGCTAGTGCTAGTGTTAGTGCTAGTGGTAGTGTTAGTGCTTCTGCTGCTACTGCTACTGGTTCTTCTACTGACACTGCGATGCAGGTACGGTATTGAATCATATCGAAAACCCTTGACATGCGCGTCAGACTCAGAATCCATGTTTGGCATCTTCGTTCTCAATCCGACTCGTCATAGCGTTCAGAGGGTCAGGACCTGTCGCACTATGAAGTGACTTCACCCTTTCCCAGCATTTACAAGAGATCTGACTTCATGTGCACTAATCTGACTTAAGTTGGCTATTTCTGCTACGACTACCAGCCATACTGCTCGTGTTACTTATGCTGCTAGGCAAGGATCATTCATTTCGCCTACTGTTGCCGGAAACAAGGCAAAAACAAGAGTTCTAAGGAGAAGCATGGCAACGTGGCCTCGCCTTGTTCAGGGCCGCTGGCGACAAAGGCATCGAGGCCGATCCCGAGGTTGATGCAACGGTACTTGCAGCATGCCTTACTTGCATTTTGTCTGTCTAAACATACTTGGTGTATCGGTATCATGTGGATGTATATGCCTGCATGTATGTATGTATGTAAGTAAGTATGTATGTAGGTGGGTAGAGAGGAAGATAGACATGTATGTATCTATGTACGCATGAACGCACGTACACATGCAAGCAAGCATCATGCATGCATGCATGCATGCATGCACTTTCCGTGTTTCTACCCGTCTTTGTGTCTCTGTTGAAGTGAGGGTAGCGGCTTATGTCGTAAGCAAGTACGGTGCACACAAGCTGACACGACATGCCATTTAGAAGGCTCGAGAATCTTAGATGCTGTCTGCTGGCAGGAGAGAGGGGTCGTGGCCTGCAGCGCAGCCGCTTTCCTAGCCTGCAGGTTCGCAAGAGATTTCGGAGACCAGCGTAAGGAACTCACAGGCCCAGGTTTCTGTAGAGGCTCGTGCATGCGCTCTGCGTCCGAGGCCATGGCCTGTTGCAAGCAGCGCTGGCGGAGGATGCTGACATTGCTGCGGTCCATGCCGGGGATCCCAGGGGCCGGAAGGAAGGAATGGGGGATCTTCTCGCAGAGAAACGCGTTCCGAGTCGCCCAGGCCTTGGAGGCAGGTCGAGGCCAACGTGGTGAGCTTCGGTGCGCCCCGTGGGGGGGTCTCTGGGAGCCAAAGCAGATCCTCGAGCGGCCTCGAGGGCCCCTCCTCGATCCGTGCACCAGGTACTGCGCTCAACATCTGCGAGAAGGGCCTCTCCTGGCCCTCGTCGATGGCTCGAGCCCCAGAGCCTTAGCTCTCAGCTGACAGCATGGAGATTTCGTGGAGAGAAGACTGCGAAGTGCTTCCCTCAGTGCTGAAAGCAAGCTTGACCAGCAGATGCGCATCAGATGGCTTCAGCTTTCCTAAGATTTCTTCTGCTGTCGGATGCGAGTCCAGCGAGGAACTGCTGGGCGCAGCACGCAGCCGGGGCGTCCCGCCCACGACGGCCACACGGTCTCAAGGCTTCCAGTGATAGTACATTCCAGTTGACTTGCTCATCTTGCAGGGTTCTGGTTTCTTCAGACCCCCCTGCCGTAGTGTTTTCTCAGGTATTGCATCTGCTGCTTTCGGGGATTTGCTGGCAGAAGGATGCCGTAAGTTGGAGGTGAATGAGGTGAGGATAGGTAAAGTCAAAGGCCAGAGCCAAGCTCAGGTGACCGTCAACGCGGCCATCTCTGTTTGTGGCAAGTTCCGCACATGGGAGGCGAGTGTCAGCTTCGCCTCGCACAGCTTTGCACTGCTAGCCAGCACGCAAAGGTCGCAAACCTAAGCGTCCGTGTCACTTCATTTGCCCGAGGGACCGCCTTCATGTCTTTCGGACTGCAGGTTCGGAGTCGTGAGTGCAGGTTGTTGGGCAAAGTCCTCCCAAGCTTGGCACGGCCTTTGCTCACGGTCGATTCGGGATCGACGACAAACAAATCGAAGGGAGTTCCGCAAGATGATTCTTATGTGGAGCATGTGTCGCCTTAAACTGCACCTCGAGGAGGCACTCTCAGACAAATATAGTCCCTGCACCTTCCCATGTTTGAAAACGGAATGGGAACTCGCGGCATTTGCCGCTTTAGCGCTCAAAGCCATGGGCGACACAGGCTGAACATGTGTCGGCGTGGCCAAGAGGAGTTCCGGTGTCGAGGTGTGTTGAAGTTCACCAAAGCAAGGAGAGGCCATAGGGCTTTGTGCCAAGACGAGGCCTCGTCGGAGCTGCTCCGAAGCCTGCGGCGCTCGCAGGATGGGGATACGGCCACGGCCGCGGGGTACTCAAAACTTAGAAGCGTCCCACAGTCCAGGAGCAAACTGGGGAGTTTAGAGTTTGGGTTTGGCCTGGATGAGGTAAGCTTCACGTTTCATCCGAAAGCTTCTGCCGGTTGTACCTGGGTGTTTGACAGCCTTATTTTGTGGACTCCATCCTGATTGCTGTTTTGGAGCACGTTTTCGTGTCGCCCTGCCATGAGGACAGGCTTGGCCTAGTCAGAACATTTTCCAGCTGTCGAGGTTTCGATTGGAGCAGCAATTGGGTCTTTGCGCGTGCCAGGCAGTCCCGGTCTTGCTGCAGTTTGGTGATTCCCATCAGATGCCGTGTGACTCCTTGAGAGAGACGACTCTAAGGGTCAGGTTGCACGAGAAAAGGCTGAAGAGCAGCAGCCATGTTAGAGTTGCCCGAGCAGAGTCGCCCTGAGCTCCTCGGGTCTTCTCCTAAACCACGCCTCCAAATGTCCCCCCGAGCCTCAACGTTCGAGGTGGCTGGCCGCGTGCACTGAAGCTTCTTGAAGGCGGAGCCGCGGGAGCTCTGCGGGAGCTCTGCGGGAGCTCTGCGGTGTCAACTCCCGGCAGGCCTTGGGGCCGCCGCCCTGAGGCCGATGACCAGCACTGTGCCGGGGTCCAAGCCAAAGAGAGCAGCGTGCTCTCTGTACACGGTTCAGGCAAAAACACAAAAAAGATGCGCGGAATTGTGTCTTCTTGTCTGCCAGGAACAGCGCAGTGGCGGCAGTCGGCCCCGCTGGCTGGCGCTGGGCCCTTCAGCTTTTGGGCCTCCGCCCCAATTCCTGCCATTCCTGCCATATTGGGGCGAGTGTTTTTTTTTGAGTGTGAGCTCTCCTCTCAGAGGCCTCCATGGCCAGAGCAAAGACAATCTGGGCATGGCGGCTGCGGCGACAGCCATCGCCGCGGGTGCAAAACCGAGAGAGCGGGGCTTCCTTCGACCTTGCAAAGACGCCGGTGAGCCGCTCAAATGAGCCATGACCTGTCAGATCTAAACCCGGTCTGCGACGTTGCGGAGGAGGTGCGCACCGATCGGCTCTGATGGGATTTTTTGGGGGTCCTTGCCTTGCTTGAAAGAAGAAAGGAGGCGCTGAGGCTGTTGGCTGTGCGGACATGAATTCATCGCATCGCCAGGAAGGCGCGGTCGCGGCTTTGAAGTCTCTGGTCCTGGAGCTTGCGGGAAGTGCAGAGGCACGTCCCTCTCCCTCCTTTCCTCTCTTTGAGCCGCATATATATATATATACACATATATATATATAATAGATACAGAAACATATATATATATTTATTGATTTATTTACTTATTTATATGTATGTATCTGCATGTGTGCACTGCTGCCAGGCTCCGGGTGTGATCGCAGATGCCATCAAAGGCTTAGGCCCTCTTCTCAGCAAAGGGAGGACGCTGCTCTGCTAGCAGCGACCTTGTGCAAGCTTCCTCAAGCTCCAGACATTCACGCCGACAGGCTTTCTCGGCGTTCTTGAGATCCCGTCTGTCTTTGCATACCAAGGGCGTGCTGGCCGATGGCGGGTGGCCGTCGGCTTGCTGTTAGAGGTGGGCGAGGCGTGGCTTTGGGAGCCACCGCGCGTGGCTCTGACTCGGAGTTTCACCTCGGAGGCATCTTCCCGGTCGCGGACAAAGGTGGGCCGCACCTGGAGAGGCCTGGGCCTCAGCATGCCTCAGCTCTCTGGTCAGCCTCACATGTGAGCATGCTGCGATGCCATGGAAGGAGCTGACCTCGCGGCGCTTCTCTGGAGCCAGGCAACCTACTCCACCGAGGCGGCGCCTGCATCACCGCTTGAGCCAGCCGCCAAGCCAAGAAGCCGCCGCCCGCCAGGCCTCGCAGCGGCCGGGCTCTTGGCTCCTCCCCAAGGTGCGGCAGAGCCTCTTCTCCTTTTTCTTCGGTTCTGAGCCGAATTTCCGCTTGGGAGGAGCTGACTCCAGAGGAGGCCGTGCAGCACTGCATTCCGATCTGAAGTGCGCAGTCGCCGTGGCGTTTAGGAAGCAAAAGCAAGCGCAAAGCGATGGGATGTGTGTGTGTGTGTGCGCGTGCGTGCAGACGGCTGTGGGCCTTGCTTGCTTATTTCGTGGTGCCTCGGCCATCTTGGAGTTTCAACACGCTTAAGGGCATCCAGCGACAGCCTCAGAATGCAATGCCCCACGAGCAGCGCACATCGACGCTGCACCACGAAGCCGGCCTAGCTGCCACACGAGCTACCACGGTTAGGACTGCCGACATGGTCAAGCCTCGCACCAAACATGAAGGATCGGCAACACAGCCCCTCCTGCCATGAAAGGAGTGCATGCAGTAGGTTGTAGCTAAGCCTTTTGGGGCTTGTGCTCCGACGTTGCTCCGAACGGCCGAGGCCTTAGTGACGGGTTTCCAAACGGGTGTGCAGGTCGCCAGGGCAGGGGCTAGGTCCGCTAGGTTTTATTCTGCTCCGTCTCTTCGGAGTTCCGAAGCTGAAAGCAGTCTGAGGACTCCCATGGTTGGCAACCGGGGGCCGTGGCCGGACTGGCGCCGGAAAAGAGCGAGAGGCCCCCCGGGTAAACTTTAAACCCCTAGCGGCTTTGCAATCGGTTGGCTGCGAGGTGGAGGCCGGCCCAAAACCGTCGAACCCCGATTCTGCAAAGAAGAAGAAGGCTGGGAGGAGGAGCAGGAGGCCGGAGAGGGAAAGTATGGGAGTGTCTTGTGATGAGGTCTTTTGAACATGTCTTCTTTCGCTCCTCTTCCTCTCTCCTTGCTTTCATGCTGTTGCACGTTTCGTTTCGTATAATATCTTATAATATCTAGGCAGCAGGCAATGGGCCGCTCTTCTCTTTCCGCGTGAGGGGTCAACCAGTACTCGTCATTTTCGCTGTTCTTGCGTTGCAAGCGGTGGTCGTTCGACCTTTCTGCACCGTCTGGGAAGCCTGCAGATCCGTGTCCACCCAACATGTCAGAACAGAGCAGGCGTTGAGCCCCGCTCAACCTCAACGGAACCCCCTCTTCCTTAACGGAAGCTCTGCACACCCAAAGCCGAGGCCGAGGACCCGGGCTCCTCCGACTGGTGGCCGCCCTTTCAGCGGCAACCGCGGCCGCCACCAGGTCCTCCGCCAGGAGCGGCTGACAGGGGATTCTACATATGTATGTATATATATATATATATATATTTTTTTTTCTGATATATGTGTGTATATACATACATAT